AAAAAAAGAAAATAGTACATATTAAAAAAAAAGAAAATAGTACATATAAAAAAAAAAGAAAAAGATAAAGGTGGCTCAGAGGAATAACATAGACTCCCACGGCAGGAAGTTCGCTGGACCTTAGGGAATTCCAGGGGATGCTGGGATCTCAGATAAAGAAAATCAAGCCAGCCAGGCACTCAGATTTTCTACAGTCACTTTGTCACTCATCTTTGTTTATGCTTTGTTTTATCTCTACAGCTCAGTTTTTCCTGTTTATTAGTGTGTAAGTGCCTAAAAGGTGATACCCCGGTCAAACTTTACATCTTCTCAGTTCAAGCAAGCAAAAGAGGAAATCCAATTTCCAAGCATAAGAATAAAATTGTCCCAGGATGGGTCAGGTTCCCATGCTTAGTCCAGTTAGCTATAGTCAGAGGGCTATAAAGACAATAGTCCAGGGCTATAGACAAGGGCTGCTAGAGCTCATAGAGGATTGTGGACTAAATACCACAAAGCATGCCTGTTACCCTGGGCTTCATACAGCTCAGTCTGGGCTTATGTTCTGGCTGGCTACATATACTGCTAATTCTGAATAACCCAGTATTCAGAAAATGTGCAGCTTGTGAATTACTATGTTTTAATGTGGCTCACTTGTTGCGGCTACAGAGCAACTTAACCTCTGTGGATAGGGGTGTGGTTTCTTTGAATGGAAATTCCTGCAATTCATCATATTAGTAAGTGGCAGGTTCTGGAGAACAAAATGAAACAAGGAGGCAGATATTACACTGGAAAAGCTTGATACATAATTTCTGCTCTCTGAGTTACTCAGAAGCTGGACTTGGATTCTTAGGCATATAAGTGGTTAGAGAACTTTGTAACCACTGGGGTGGGGGTGAGCTGGTCCCTACTACATTGGGACAGAAAAAGAAGCTAAATAAGGAGGCACCTTATAAAGGATACTGAAGATATTCCTGGGTGTCTGGTAGCTCAGAAAAGCTACAGCTACTTGTAATTATAAGTTACCTTCTAAATCTTCAGTAAAATATGGATGGGGAAGTCGAAGAACCTGTTGCATCTTAGGGATGTGGTAGCAAAAAGTAAGGTTGAGCGTATCCCTGCTGCTCTTACCAACATCCGGTCCGCAGTGGCAGAGCCAAAGAGAAGACACCTAGAGCCAAAGATGGAAGAAGGAGAGGTGTGGCACTTGGATAAGAACAACTTGAACAAATATGAGATAGGACTTTGGGAGACTCTCAGAATAAAAAAAAAAAAAAAAAAAAAAAAAGTGGGGGAAACACTTTGTGATAGGTTCCTGCAGTTTGGTAAATTGGGGCTTGAAATCATCATAGTATGGGAATTAAAGTAAATGAGGCTGGGCGAGGTGGCTCAAGTCTTTAATCCCAGCACTTTGAGAGGCCAAGGCAGGCAGATCACCTGAGGTCAGGCATTCAGGACCAGCCTGGACAACATGGTGAAAACCTGTCTTTACTAAAAAAATATAAAAAATTAGCTGGGCATGGTGGCGTGTACCTGTAATCTCAGCTACTCGGGAAGCTGAGGCAGAAGAATTGCTTGAACCCGGGAGGCAGATGCTGCAGTGAACCAAGATTGCACCACTGCACTCCAACCTGGGCGACAGAGTGAGACTCTGTCTCAAAAAAATAATAATAAAATAAATAAATAAAGTAAATGTGACTTCATTTTGTAGTCGTAGGCTGACAAGGCCTGTACATGCCAGATACAGCTGAAAGTGAAAAACAAATGGAACTAAACAATGGGTAAATCATTAAGCAAAGTATATTCATATGACAGAATATTTTGTAGCCACTGAAAATAATATTTACAACAGATACCTGGGGAAAATCACATCATATATTCTTGAGGAAAAAACCCACATGATATCTAGTATCATATCTACTATGCACAGAGGGTAGAAAAATAAAATAAAATATTAACAATGGTTGCCTCTAGGTAGTGAAATTGTGGCTGATTTTTTTTCTGCTTCTTTGTTCTTTTGTAGTCTTTTGAATGCTTATGTTGGATGCATATTACTTATTATTTCTAGAATTAGAATTAGAAACAAGAAAAAAGTTTAATCTGTTTTGTCATTGGTAACACCTCTTATAAGCTAGTTTATATCTAAATCAATGCATGCAGAAGTATTTGTATATTATCTTTAGTTTAACAATCATAGTAAAGAAATTCCAAGCAGAAAGGATGTCATGTAGCAAGCTCTGCTCCATCATCCTTTGTTCTTACATCCTTCTCTAAGACTCTGTCTGGCCTTTTTAAGGGAAGTTCCCTCACTGGACTAACCACGCTCTTCCTTTCCTCTTCTTCATGCAGATTATCTCCAATATTCCAGGGCCTTCTTTCTCATCTCTGTCTTTACCATACTCATTGGCCTTGGCTGGCTCTTCAGCTCTTGGCTCCCTAGTCGAGGAAGCATGACCACCAACTTGGATCTGAAGGTATCCATGCTCAGCTTCATCTCAGGTACAGACCTAGATCGGCAGGGTATTTTACCATGGTAATAATCAAGGTAACAAATTTTCTCTGTGAAACTCTTATACTCTTTTTCTTATCTCTTTGCTCTTCTTCAGTATCACACCAACTTGCCAGCTATCTGCCTTATCTAATTATATAGAACACACCTTCGCTGACTTTACCAGGGTATAGATCCTGTTCTCTCATCTTGGTCAATCCCCAAGTTTTTATCTTTTTGATCCTTGCTATACATATGGCCTCTGGAGGCTGAAGAGCTGGGGGTGGCGGGGAAGGCAGACTGAAGATGCTGATGGGTTGTGACATTTTTTCTTCCGGTCCTAGCTACCTGCTTGCTCCTCTGCCTCAACCTGTTTGTGGCACAGGTTCACTGGCATACTAGGGATGCCATGGATTCAGATCTCCTATGGACCTATTATCTTAACTGGTGCAGTGACATCTTTTACATGTTTGCTGGTGAGTCACTCCCCTGCTCTATGCTAGAAGGATGGATAGGGAAATCGCTTCTGGAAAGGGAGGTATAATCTAGGAGAAGTAGAAGCACTGACTGTTTCTTTTCAGAACATTGATACTTGGAGAGTTAGTGTGTCATAATGAAGAAAGGGTGGATTTTAGAGTCTGAAAACCTAGCATTAGTAACTTGTTCTATCACAAAGTGAGGCATGGACGAGTTGAGTAACTTGCCCAAGGCCACACAGAAAATAGTGGAACTATGATTTGAATCTAGGAGGTTCAAGCTTTGTCCTAACCAGTCTGAGAAATATTATAATGCAATTAGAGCACAAGAGGGTAAAGTAAGTCCGCTGGGGGAGAGAGGGGTTCACTGAAAAGATGTCTTTTGAACTGGTTATTAAAGGAGGAGTAAGAATTTTAAAAGCCAAAAGACCATTGCCTATTGAACCTCACCTCAAATTATTCCCTTCCCCTAGGCATCATCTCTCTTCTCAACTACTTAACTTCCAGATCTCCTGCCCGTGATGAAAACGTCACTGTGATTCCAACAGAGAGATCAAGGCTGGGGGTTGGTCCAGTGACTACAGTATCACCTGCTAAAGATGAAGAAGAGCCAAGGTCTGAGATGGAATCTCTAAGTGTGAGAGAGAAAAATTTACCAGAGGCAGGACTGTGATGGTGATAGGAAAACCTAACTATAGCTTGTCTTAAAAGCAGGGGAGAAGCTGAGTTGGGAATGATCGCATAAATTCTTGGAAACCCTCCTAATATCATGTCCATATTACTGGAGGAGACAACATTAAAGCTGATGAAATGTCTTTTGCGTGCTTTGGATCCAGAATAGGTATGATAGTAATAAAGTAAGTAATAACTCACTTAAGAAAAACATTTCTAAAAGAAAACAACAATGTTTAGAGTCATGAATGAAAGAAACTAGTGAAAGATGCAGTGTGTAGACCAGAGACTTCTTTGGGTATGAGGGATCTCATGGACCAGAAAGGCCCGTGGAGAAGAACGTTAATTACTTCTATTTAGAATTTTCTTTATTATGTGTGGCTTTGGGTATACTCCGGATGGAAAGCACTTGGACAAATACTGTTGAATCTGAACTTGATAGCGTTACCAGAAATTGAATAAATATCAATGGATATAAGACCTACTACTCAAAGGAACTGAGAGGTGCTGGGTAGATTCTAGGGAATCCATGAGGTCCCACTTACTGTGAGGACTGGTAATTTGAAACCTTTACAGTCTGTTATGTAAAACCACTGCTTCTCCCTAGGCAGGGAGATACCTTAACCAGGCATCCACAAACTCCCTGAAATTCTATACAAAACTTGTATATGTATTCTTCTGTGAAGAGGGCCAGAGATTCCATCAGATTCTTCCTTCCCCCTGCCCCGCCCCCGGAAGATAGTTTCAAGTAAACTCCATCAAATTCTTGACAGGCCTGTGACCTCTTTGATTCCTTAAGCATCGATTATGTTTTACTGAGCCAAATGGGACTAAAGGGCTTCTTCAGCAGATGTATAGATAGATAGATAGATAGATGGATGGATAGATAGATAGATAATAGATTGATAGATAGATGATAGATCGATAGATAGGCCTATCTATATCTATAATACATCTACATCTATATCTATACAAGCTGAAAGATTTTCCATGTTTTATATATATCTCGTAAATCTAAGTACGGAGGGAGGAGGTGGTATTTTCAGACAATCATGTAGGTCTTTTGATGGCTAAAGATCCCTTTCATACTCAGACTAGATTTCACACACAAGGTCCCTGATACTCATTTTGTCTTTCATACCCTTAGTTGCTGCCACTACTACTCTATTGGTTGAGATCCATTTTTCTCCCCAAAGCTGGCAATGAAGTGGACTATAATGTCCAGCTTCACTCTTGTCGTGTGTAAAGATAAGCCCTTGGATCCTTTTGGTTTAATTTAGAGATTCACTAGTAACCTTTGCAGAAAACAAAAATAATAGACATTGAGCAATTATATAATTTTTATAATCCTGGTCCTGATCAGTAATTCCCAAACATTTCCAGATGGTAACTGGAAGCCCTTTAAGTTAATACTTATGCTTTTATTCCTGTGGGTTGGAGCTTACATACAGCACACAAATGTATGCACCCACACACAGATACACAAACAGACATATATACACATTTTGATCCTGCCTTAGAAAACCCTTTCTTCATGCCCCTCTTCCGATCAGGTGAGTTTCGTTATGGCAGAATTACTTGTGCCTCCTTACTTCAAGTGGCCTTAGTTCAGAGGCTCTTCAGACTATTCCTGGGCCTTTGTCTGGTTGTAAGAACAGACATGTAGTCAAAGTCAACTCTGCCTCCTTACATTACCACTCACACAAACTCTAACCTATACATTAACTGGTTAAGTACTCACTGGGTTCACAATCTTTATTTGTAATTTAGTTTGAATACTTTAATTATATGACTAAATTGACAGGATGCTGAACACTGATGACTCTTCAAGAAACAAAAGTTCTAAATGTGGGGAAGAGAAGAAAGTAAGTCTGAGTGAAGGTGGAAGAAGCGAGATAATAAGAAAGTAATGCCAGGTATGACAGTTCACGCCTGTAATCCCAGCACTTTGGGAGGCCGAGGCGGGTGGATCACTTGAGGTCAGGAGTTTGAGACCAGCCTGGCCAACATCGTGAGACCCCCGTCTCTACTATAAAACACAAAAATTAGCCAGGCATGGTGGCACGCACCTGTAATCCCAGCTACTTGGGAGGCTGAGGCAGAAGAATTGCTTGAACCTGGGAGGCTGAGGTTGTAGTGAGCTGGGATTGAGTCACTGCACTCCAGCCTGGGCGACACAGCAAGACCCTGTCTCAAAAAAAAAAAAAAAAAAAAAGAAGCTTAAGTGGATTTTCAGTCAGATAGCTCAGTAAATTACCCTTTTGTACACACCCTTTGTTCCATATATATTTTGTAATAGGTTAAGTGGGAAGAGAGAGACAGAGAGAGAGAAGTCCAGTTAAAATAGATAAACATTTTCATAGACTGGGGAAAAAAGAAAAAAAGCAATGCTATGATTCAAGCTAAGCCCTAGACTTCATAGGCTGTAAGTCCCAAAGAAAGCATAAGTGAACAGGGAGACAGCTCCTATATGGTGAAAGGGACTAAAAGTGCTTCTCAAGACATGGACTAAAGCCAGCTTCGCAACCCTACATGAAAGAGGAGCTCTAGAAAAGAAGCTAAACACTTTGTATCTCAATCTTCTCACTATAAAATGTGTATACTACCATAGATTTCAATGAAAATGAAATTAAATGATATATTCTAGTACTTCCCATATTTTCAAGTATGTGAATATATGAAGAACTAAAAAGAACTACTTCTAGTTATTTTCCATATATTCTACAATATAATCTTTTACATGAAAAGTCTCAATGTGTAAATACTTCTGAGTCTATACAATAAATGTCTAAAGAAATGAAGTCATTACCAAAGCAAAACTTAAGAACTAAGGCTGTGATATCAGATCATTTTCAACTTGTCCTGCTTCCGTGGCTAAATAAATAGAAAATCATGAAAAAGTCTTTATTTCTTCTAATGTTTTATTCCTCAGTTATGGGAAGGTGGAAAAAAATAGGGCCTGCATTTATAGGGCTTTGCATATGACTAAAATCGGTTATACATGAGTTAAGATATAGAATGCACCACCTACCACAGTTCCTGTTTCACAATATATGTAAGTGTTAATATGAAAATATTGAAGACTCCCAATCTCTCTTAATGTCTGTTCATTCTATTCATTAATTTCTATTCATTCCTGTATAACTCTAAGATGTTCTGATGACACAAGAAGAGGTCACTGAAGAGTGCTATTATTGATACATTCATGCTATATTGCTTCATTATTTCTAGATGTTGCCTATTGTAGCATCTAATCTATCATCCTTCTAATGTATTTTGATAAATATTTGACTAATATATGCCAAATTATCACAAATATTTGAAAAATATTGAATTATTACTTGTTTCTCCTTATCGATTCATTTAAGCAGTCAACTCTTTTTTTTTTTTAAATTATACTTTAAGTTCTAGGGTACATGTGCATAACGTGCAGGTTTGTTACATATGTATACTTGTGCCATGTTGGTGTGCTGCACCCATCAACTCG